TTTGACTCAACTAACCGACACTGTTGTCAATAGGCATTTGAATTCTTTTAAACACTTAGCTAAAGTTATTTTGTCTGATAGTGAACATCCTCTTTATTCACATTTGTTTCCTTGTATCTCTTCGAGTAAGACCAGAAGAAATTTCACAAACATTTATGCTCGTACTACAAAATATAAAAATTCGACCGTACCATATTTGGCACGAGTATTGTGTGAAGAGACGAATATCAGAAAAGAACTTTTACAACTTCTAAATCATTAACTAAACTAAAAAATGTAATGATGCATATTATTGCATGTGTGATTTGTTATATTATTTATTTATTATTCACTATGACCTAGAAATGGTGTATTTTGTTGGGGTTTTTATTTTTCCTATTAACTATTAATATTTTTAAAATTTTATACATTTATATAATTATAAAAAGAGCTAAACCAATGCAATATGTAAAATGAAACGCTGAAAATTCCATGCTGTAAATTGTTATTGTTGTGGAATAAAGTGATTATTATTATTATTTGTCTAAATTAATAAAGGGAACTAATTGTCGCCAATCTGTTTATGCACGCATTAGAAACAAATGCAATTATGAGATGCCCTAGTCCCCCAAAGATGTGGTTAAGATACGTAGATGATACCTTCGTCATAATCAAGCGTAGTTTGTTAAATGAACTTTTTCACTTAATAAACAATATGTCAGAAACCATCAAGTTTTCCAGAGAGGTTGAATCCGATGAGAATGAGTTGGCATTCCTGGACTGTTTAGTAAAAAGAAAATTAGATGGCGAATTTAAAATAAACATTTTCAGAAAGCCGAAAGATTAGGATAGATACCTAGATTACTATTCAGCTCACCCATTCACCACCAAAGTAACTGTGGCCAAGAATCTGATCAACAGAGCCAAACGTCTAGTTACTGAGGAGGAAGATATTAGCAAGGAACTAAAATTGGTTCAATCCACCCTTGAATCAAATAATTATCCAAAATCCTTCATAAATAGATATTTAAAATGTGAAGATAAGGATGAATCGAAACCTGATGCTAAGAATTGGGTTAGTACAGCGGTGATTCCTTACCGCAAAGAAACATCCGACGAAATAAAGCGAATCCTTAACGATCATAACAGAAGAGTGTATTTTCATGCATCAAACACCTTACGCTCATTACTGGTGAAGGTTAAGGATTAAATAGAACAAGAAAATCAGCAGAATTGCGTATACCAGATCAGTTGTGGGGATTGTAACGCCGTATATGTAAGAGTGAAAGAGCATAAACAATGTCTAAAGGTGGTTCCAAAGACCTCTGCAGACTTATTTATTATTTGAATAAGGCATTTAGAAGACAAATTTCGCGAGATGATACCGTCATTTCGTAGTTTCTTTACAACCGCTTTACAACTAACATGGTTAACAATAATAAAATAAAGATCATGACAATTACTCAGTTAAATAAAAAACACAAAAGTACATACTAATGACCAATCATATTTAGATAGGTCATGTAGTCCAGGGTAGGCGAAGATTGAAGTCTGTTGTTTTTTGTACACACAGTTTAAGCTGTATGTGATTAACCCGAAGTGCTTCCATCACCTTCAATAACCAACCTTGAATTAGAGTTATGTGAAATAATTGTGAAACAGTCATTAATATTGACTTTGTGACCTGACATTAATAAGTGGTTTGCAATGAATGATGCTGGATTTCTATTCAGATTAATCACGTTGGGATTTTCTATATGATTTAGTAGCCATTTTGGAACATGTTCCTTTCGACGACATTGGAGCATTCTGTTGGTTCTACCTATATAGGTGTCACCACAACTGCAGGTGAACTTGTAGATACAGTTTGAAGTAGAGTCTACAGAATTTCGTCCTTTAATCGTAGGTACAGGGATCGAAAATGTTCAGCAAGTGAGAAAAAGAGATGCGGTGGCGTAGAATGTGCGTTTGATGGCTGACCGAAGTCTTTGAGCTAGCTGTCAACTGCATAATCTGGTCACGCTTGAATGGTAGGTTAATGAAGATAGCTTTCTTTGGTACAGAAGCTATCTTTTCGAGATGTGGTCTTTCTTTATTGTGACAAGTGATAAAGTTTCCCGGATAACCATTAGCTCGCGAAATTTGTCTTCTTAATGCCTTATTCAAATGCTGATTACATTAGATTTCCATTCTGGTTTCAGATTAATGCAGAAGGTTTGTCTGTCAAGAGATTAAGAAAGCTATTCTATTCGTCGTCACGACTACTCGCCAAATAAACCTTTTGTGTTGAAAAGTTAAGCAACTGTTGACATTTAAGTATCTACAAAATGTAGGTAGACCATGGGAAGCCTATTGAAGATTGAATGACTCTTTTTTATATACTGCTGTGCTTAAATAATGGTCACGTAATGATACAAAACGCCAGACTCAACAAGATTTAATTTTTAAATTGCAAATAAATTGACTAGATAAGATGTAAGTGTTTTTCTCATCTCCTGGATGCTGCAGCTGACTTCTTAGTTTGTTACGTGGTTTCTAATGTACTTCATTTAAGAGGATGTCCTTCAGTTTCTACTTAAAAAAAGTGAATAGCAATTCATTGATTGTGTGTCGTCATAGTTACTGTCACTGAGACAAACAAATGTTCTAACAAAACGTCGACATCACGTTCATTATACCATTAATCTTTTTCAACCCTGGACATTCCTGCCAATCCCTGAAAACTTAACATAGGCACTTTCATTTGTGTTTCCGTAAGAATTTACTAATATGAATAGAATATGTTTGAAAATTTGGTCTATTACTTTGGGAGAAGAACTGAATTTTAGCGTTTAGTCACACAGAAAGTTTGTTTGTTTGTTTGTTGGTTGGTTTATTTGTCCCTAAGTTCTATTCATCAAGAGGTATTGTAAAGTTACAAAAATTTAGCTTGATTCATCATCCTCAGATTCCCTTCCCTTGTGGTACGGCTAGTATGAAGCGTACAATTCTGACGCCCTCACCAAGTTAATACAGAACACTCGCTCACTTCTGTTCGGTTTTCAGAAGTTTTTCTTATCCCATACTCTTTTTTATAACTCCCGATTGTCTACGTCTACTTATGGAGAGAATATCAAATTTATAAAATTATATTATATTTCTAAAAATCTGAATTATTTTATAACCATCCGGTCAAATCTTATTCACAGTTCCTATGAGAATGACAAATGTTTTATGACTGTTCACCCACACACACACATACACACACACACACCATTGGTTACTGCATATACACATATATTTTAACAAAAGTAAACTAATTATGAAAGTCTGAGGTCAAATTTTGATCACAGTTCATATAAAATTTTTGTTTTGTTTTGTTTATTTTACCTATTGATAGCTGTTTCTTGATTCACATGACAGGACAAACAATTTAAAACAAGAGATGTACTTTTATACATAAACATACTATTTTATTTATTTATTTATTATACATGTTGATGACTGTTGCATGACACATGATTGGACAAAGTTTAAAAAACAAGTGATGTTCCTTTTATATATAAACCTCTGTTATGTTAATTTCGATTCATTTCACTGAAGAAGTTCAGACCAGATTGCCGAACGAAACGTTGGAATTATGCATTTCAATTTCGCTGAGATTTTGCAAATATAATTTTTACAAATGACTAATTAATGATATAAGTATAAAACTTGGGCACTGTAGTAGAGTATAACTCCATTATGGATAAGATTTTATTTTGATAAATCACACAGTGTAGTGTTGTACAGTAATATTAACTGATGATCACGTTTCGAGCACAAATTATTGCTGCTCGTAATCATATCAAGGTACACACACAACTTCTTTCCTTCATTTATATACATGAGTGGAAATGATTAGACATTTGAATAAAAATCAATATAGGATAATGTACATTCAGAAATAGTAATACGAGTGTTATTGATCAATTACAATCAGATGGGAAATAAGACGAGTGTTTTCATAGTCATAATAAGTAACTTGTTAGAATGTTGTGATGTGCTTGAATTAAAATAGAATTTTAAGATTATTTATTATCCTCTTCTGATTTGACTGGTGGCAATAATATATTCCATATCTCTGGTATTTGTATTGAGTCATTTCTGTTGCATATGTTGGGTGAATGTACATTATCACATATTGATTCCTATTCAAATTTCTAGTCAATTTTTACTCATGTATATAAATGAAGCAATAAAGTTGTGTGAGTACCTTGATATGATTACGAGCAGCAATAAATTGTGCTCCAAACATGGTCATCAGTTAATATCACTGTATAACACCACTGTGTGACAATTTATCAAAATAAAATCTTATCTATCATGAAATGACTAATTAGTTCTATCACATTGTCTTCTCCTCTAACTGAACTTTTATAGGTCCATATTTCTGAATGCTTGTGGTACATTGACATCAAATCAGCCTACATTTTCACTGTTCATGATCTCAATGACTGAGGTCGACAAAACAGTTTCAGGAAAATTTCAAAAGCTATACCTTCATTTCAGAAATTTCGATGTTCATGTATAAATGTGAGGTAGGCATTGAATGACTTTAGTGTATTGTATGAATACAGAAACTCTCTCTATATGATGTAGACTGCTAAGAAATATGTTACGTATGAAAAAGTCTTAATGGTACACTACACTACACCCACTCATTCACCCACCCACCTTATGTTATGTGTTATGTCATCAAACTTGATGTGTCATAAGATCTTTAGTAAGCCGTTTGTTGATTATTTACATTTATATGTATATAATTATTCAAGTATAATTAGACTATAATTGAGAGATTAGTAAAAGTGTCTATGTGTGTGTGTAGACACATTAGAACAATTGACGTAATTCCGGTGATTGGTCTGTTTCGCAACACTTAATTTGTACATTTATGAACAACTGTATTACTTACTGGTTAGTACTCTAAATTACTTCCTATTTTTTTCGGATGAATATGTATATATATAGCATATGTATAGTCACATAAATAAGTGAAAAATAAGACTGAAATTATCACCATGGAATGTAAAGTGATACTGATCCAGTTTGTACTTCTGCTGGTCTCTTTACATCTATTCAAGGTAACACAACAATAATGTCTTTATGTGTTTTCTTTATTATTATTATTGTTCCCTTGGGTTCCCAGTGGAACATTAGGCTTCAACTGCACGCCTCCACTTGCTTCTGTCCTCTGCTGTACTTTTCACCTGCATCATTGTTAGTCCACACTGTTTCAGCTACTCTTCACACGATCTCCTCCATGTCACCCTTGCACCGACGAACCACTCGCCGCTTCCCTTTCGGGTTCCACTCGAGCTATGGCCTGACGCGCGATCTCACCCAGCGGCCTCCTCAGCCAGTGAGTGTCCAATCCATCTCCACTTTCTCCTGCATATATGTTGGGCGATTGGTTCTTGTTTTGTTTGTTCGCATAGTTTCTTGCTGGTGATTCTTTCCGGCCATCTGATTTTCAGTATAGAGCGAAGACAGTTGTTGATAAATGTCTGCAACAGGCTGTTGGAAATATTCTTTGTGACACACTGGCCAAGTTTCTGATCCGTATAGAGGAACTGACTTGACGTTTGTATTGAAAATCCGAATTTTGTTGTTGATGCAGGCTGAGTGACGAAGATTTCCAGATTGGTTTCAGGTTGATGAATGTGTTTCTCGCCTTCCCGATTCTCGATTTGACATCCTCGTCCGTTCCTCCTGTAGTTGAGACAATGGTTCCTAGATAAGTGAAAGAAGTAACCTCTCTCAAGTCCCTCCCGTTGATGGTGATTGGTGCTGGATGTTGCTGTTGTTGTTGTTGTTGGTTGGTTATTTTCATAACCTCCGTCTTGTCTATGTTCACCTGGAGTCCTGTCTTCACCGGTTGCTTCTTCGACCAGTTTGTTGGTTTTCGCTTGTAAATCTTAGATTTTGTGTGACATCAAACATAAATCATCCGCGAAATCTAGGTCTTCTAGGTTCTCTATATGATACGATAATTTTTCTAGTACTTTGTACATTTTGTTCACTTTTAAATTATCGTTAGCAGTCAGAAAAGGGTAATTATTGGTTTCTTTAAGTATTCTAATGAAGCATTTGCTTATGACAGGACACATATAGAATGTCTCCGTAGTTTGACAGTAGGACTGTTTGAGATTCTCTTTAGTTGTTAGACTGTTCGGTTGATGACTGAAGGTGAAATGAAGATGTGCGTCAAGGTAGAATTCGAATCAATGACCTCTGGATTACAAGGATGGAGCCAAAGCATTTGAGCTACTAGACCAGGTCATCATTTCACCGTAATCATCATAGGTAATGCTCAACTGTCACGTCAGTGCGTTTGATTATCATCATAATAGCTGCCTATGATGAGGTCTTCTGCAGTCAATTGTAGCTATACTTAATAAGAGTGAGAGATGCAACAAGTCGGCAGACTCATTCAAAACTTGACCACGAGACAATTATTATTATTGTTTCCTTTAGATTCTGCGCGGAATTTAAGACTTCAACAGCATAACTCCATTTCATCCTGTACTCTGAAGTCCTCTTTAGATGGCTTCATGGTTAGCCATAAGCTTTCTCATCTCCTCCAGGTCACCGTATTGTTCCACTCGAAGACCATTCTCCCAGTGTCATTCAATGGTTTCCTAAGCGTATGTCCAATTCATCTCAACTTCCGGGAGCATATTTGTTAGGTGATAGATCCTTGGTTTGCTCGTGCTCAGAGTTCCTGATTGCTTATCCTTCGCGACCGGCCGGTCAACCATCTGATCTTTACTAATGAGGCAGAGATTCTGAATCCATATAGATGCACTGAAGTGACATTTCTTCTGAAAATCCGAATCTTGTCTCTTTTAATACTGATTACAACAATTAGTCCCTTTGATAAATTTGAATAAGGCATTTAGAAGACAAATTTCGCGAGATGATACCGTCATTTCGTAGTTTCTTTACAACCGCTTTACAACTAACATGGTTAACAATAATAAACTAAAGTTCATGAAAATCACTCAGTTAAATAAAAAACACAAAAGTACATACTAATGACCAATCATATTTAGATAGGTCATGTAGTCCAGGGTAGGCGAAGATTGAAGTCTGTTGTTTTTTGTACACACAGTTTAAGCTGTATGTGATTAACCCGAAGTGCTTCCATCACCTTCAATAACCAACCTTGAATTAGAGTTATGTGAAATAATTGTGAAACAGTCATTAATATTGACTTTGTGACCTGACATTAATAAGTGGTTTGCAATGAATCATGCTGGATTTCTATTCAGATTAATCACGTTGGGATTTTCTATATGATTTAGTAGCCATTTTGGAACATGTTCCTTTCGACGACATTGGAGCATTCTGTTGGTTCTACCTATATAGGTGTCACCACAACTGCAGGTGAACTTGTAGATACAGTTTGAAGTAGAGTCTACAGAATTTCGTCCTTTAATCGTAGGTACAGGGATCGAAAATGTTCAGCAAGTGAGAAAAAGAGATGCGGTGGCGTAGAATGTGCGTTTGATGGCTGACCGAAGTCTTTGAGCTAGCTGTCAACTGCATAATCTGGTCACGCTTGAATGGTAGGTTAATGAAGATAGCTTTCTTTGGTACAGAAGCTATCTTTTCGAGATGTGGTCTTTCTTTATTGTGACAAGTGATAAAGTTTCCCGGATAACCATTAGCTCGCGAAATTTGTCTTCTTAATGCCTTATTCAAATGCTGATTACATTAGATTTCCATTCTGGTTTCAGATTAATGCAGAAGGTTTGTCTGTCAAGAGATTAAGAAAGCTATTCTATTCGTCGTCATGACTACTCGCCAAATAAACCTTTTGTGTTGAAAAGTTAAGCAACTGTTGACATTTAAGTATCTACAAAATGTAGGTAGACCATGGGAAGCCTATTGAAGATTGAATGACTCTTTTTTTATATACTGCTGTGCTTAAATAATGGTCACGTAATGATACAAAACGCCAGACTCAACAAGATTTAATTTTTAAATTGTAAATAAATTGACTAGACAAGATGTAAGTGTTTTTCTCATCTCCTGGATGCTGCAGCTGACTTCTTAGTTTGTTACGTGGTTTCTAATGTACTTCATTTAAGAGGATGTCCTTCAGTTTCTACTTAAAAACAGTGAATAGCAATTCATTGATTGTGTGTCGTCATAGTTACTGTCACTGAGTCAAACAAATGTTCTAACAAAACGTCGACATCACGTTCATTATACCATTAATCTTTTCCAACCCTGGACATTCCTGCCAATCCCTGAAAACTTAACATAGGCACTTTCATTTGTGTTTCCGTAAGAATTTACTAATATGAATAGAATATGTTTGAAAATTTGGTCTATTACTTTGGGAGAAGAACTGAATTTTAGCGTTTAGTCACACAGAAAGTTTGTTTGTTTGTTGGTTGGTTTATTTGTCCCTAAGTTCTATTCATTACGAGGTATTGTAAAGTTACAAAAATTTAGCTTGATTCATCATCCTCAGATTACCTTCCCTTGTGGTACGGCTAGTATGAAGCGTACAATTCTGACGCCCTCACCAAGTTAATACAGAACACTCGCTCACTTCTGTTCGGTTTTCAGAAGTTTTTCTTATCCCATACTCTTTTTTATAACTCACATCACAGTAAAACCATGTGTCTAATTGTGAAGCCTTGTATGCTTCCTAATACTGAAGGTTATTCTAGTTACCAAATTAAGAAATATGCAGATTTGAAGATCAACAGTTAAGCAGAAATTATATGTTTCTGCAGAGAAATCATGAATATAAATGAAAGGTAGTGATAGGTAAAATGAATTTCTGACATTTCTGATTGGACATTAGTCAGTAACTAGTGTTATGTGTCTAGTCCTATGTTTGGTGCAGACTGAATTCTATCAGTCAAGCTTGCAATGTGGCCACCATACCACTAGGTGGCTCACCATCATGGTGCATTGTGAATTGTTGGTATTAGATGGTTGGGGACAATCGTCAGGAGGAAGCCTTGGACCTAGACTAGGTTTCGTGCTAGTTTGCACCAAAGATAAGACTAGACACCTTACATTAGTTACTGACTTGTGTCCTACAGGAAGTCAGTCGCGAGCTTGAATAGTTCTGTGGTAACGTCTCTCACTGCAGCGCTCACTGGGTGACACGGGTTCGAATCTCAGAATGGACATGAGTTCCGTCAAGATTGCAGATACGCCTTGATGACTGGTGAGTGCCAACTAGCACGAAACCTAGTCTAGGTTCAAGGTTTCCTACCGATTGCTTCCAACCATTTAATATCAAGAATCTCTGACATTTTAGTTGTACTAAAATCCCATGGAACAGCAACATTTATGTAATTTTCTTCACTGAATAGGTAAATATTTCTTGAATTTTCAGTTCAGCTGTTGATGTTGATTCTTTCTATGATGACTTATTTATACTGTCACAGTTGTCTTTAATGCCATTTGTATCAAATACTTACTTTTACAGGCAGAAGAAGAAGCAGAAACAGACATGTAAGTCATTTAGTTTTCGACTTTGTCTTCTCATAAAATACGTTTCTGATAAATTATTTAAATAATCATTAGTGAATATAATTTTACTATTTTCCAACGAATGAAAAACAAAACGATTTTGTTGTGTTTACTGACGTTTCACTATTTAATGCTGCTGCTAATAGCTTTATCAAAGTATTATTAAACCGGAATTTACAAAAATCTCAGCATTTGTATATAACAAAGAGTTAAGAGGTGAGAAAATAGACAAGTTAGGTCAAGTTAAAGGGACATATTGAAAGTTAAAATAACAATGAAGATCACTAAACCAAATAGTATGTCTGGTATGATATCAAAATATAGTTTACTAACTTGATCATCGTTCATCAGTCTGGGATCATTTTTCGTTGTCAAGTTGGTCAATTGGTAAATATAACAAAATCAAGTGTGGATTGTTGAATTTGATCAGTGTGTAAAATTATAAAATTGGTGTGTGTTTACATAGTGAACTTGCTTATCACATTTGTGTTGACTTTTTCATTCCATGGGAGAGGAGGGTGTTGTAACCAGGTCAGATTCTGTTTTAGTCCATCATTTCTATTCAGGCAATTTGGATTCCACTTGATATGAATTGCTTCTCATATTAGATGTTCTTTGTGATTTCTGAAGTTTTTCTGGATTATTTCAACATTGTCAAAGTCAATTTTTTGGCCTGATTCTATAGTGTGTAGACCTCGGGCTGGCTGATGATTTCAACTGCATTTCTCGGTGGTTGAACAGACACTCTACGGTGTTCATTTCTTCTGATTTTGATTTCTCGTGATGTTTGTCAGATGTATATGGCATCACATTCCAAGCATTTTATTTTATAGACACAATTAGATAGAGAATCTTTTGGGATTTGGTCTTTCATATGGACAAGGTTGTTTTGCAGTGTGTCTGATGTTTTGAAGACAACTCTGATGTTGAGCTTATTGAAACTCTTCTGATATCGTCTCCGCTCTATATGGGATGACGACTGTTGAGGTCTATGTTTTCGGAATACGTTTCTGACCATAATTATTGTCAGTGTTGATTTTTTTGATGAAGTTCCTTGCGTAGTTGTTTTGCTTGAGAGTTTCAGTAATGCTTGATATTTCTTCTTCTATGATTAAGTTATTATATACAAGCTGGGATCTTGTAAATTCTGGTTTAATAATACTTTTATAAATCTATTAGCATTAAACAGAGAAATGCCAGTAAAAACGGTATCGAAAACATTTATTTCTCGATACGAATTTAAAACAAGCAACAAAGGTTAATGATTATAACTTTAATTATTGATATTACTCTGTTTGCAATTGTTGATATATTCTCTAGTGACTAATTGTTTATCCAAGTGATTTAATTCAAGCGTAACGCATTTTATCTTAATTTTAATCTCTCATACTTCCTCTCCCCTTATCTATTCGAACATGACGTGAAAAACATTCGCATCTATCTTTCTGCATTAGTAATCCAATGTAGTTTATTTGCTTATCAGTCTTATATCTCAGTAATTTCAAAAGTATATATATCCGTGTATGCAGAGTATTCAGCTGACGAGTTCTACCGAAATTTGATGAATTCATTAAATTCTGCTTTATTGACCTTTCTTGCTTGTTTTAAAAACACAATCGTTTTGTTCTGCATTCATTGGGAAATAAAGAAAAACCTTTATTAACATGAATATCATATACCCAGTGCCCAAATTGATTTCAAACTGTTAAAAGTGAAGTTAGTTTGGACATATATAAAATAAATATTGAATACTATATTGTTGTACATCGGTGGCATAGCAGCTAGGACGCTCGCCAACCATGCACATGGTTCGAAGTTCGATCTCCGGCCAACGCACACTTGATACCAATGGTCGACCTGCTAAATTTGGGCTGCCGATATCACCTGATGAAAATTCCATACTTGTATCGAAAATACTGTGTGCAGTCAATCTACAATAAAAAAAATAAATAAAAAATAAAATTAATTAATTATGTTGTACTCCGTAGCTGGGACTATTCATAACTGTGTAATATCAAAGTTGATATATGTCTCTCGCATACTTACTGTTTTTAAAAGAGTCTGACGAAAGTGGATGTTTCTAAGAAGATGAAGACAAAAGTTGATACCAGAAAGTCATCGTCTACATAAGTGCTCACCGGTTGTAAGACAAGAAACAGAACCTAAGTCTGTATTCACGTTGTCATTAGCTCACTGCAACGAAATAATGGGTAGATTCACTAGATTTATCATTCCCCTAAACCTTACATTCACTTTTCAAAGATGCTAAGTATAGGTATCTGTAGGTATCAAGTGGAGATGTGTTATGTGTTAGTAATTTAATACTATGGTTGAGTAAAAGTGCATAAGTTTTTTCTGACTGAGATAATAAACAATACAAGATTATCAGTCACCATATGAAAATTTCTTGTATTATCGAATCGTGTGTCGATGCTGTCGTTAAAAGAATTTTCAATGTCTAAGTTTTACAGTTCACCAACATCATTTCCCCCCCCCCCCTCTATTTACGTGGTAGTACGCTTTTTCCATGTTTATTATTGAAGTTGTTGGCATCGAATATTGATTCAATATTGATTCAGTCTTTCTCTACCCGTCTATGTTAATCATTTAGAGATGCAAATCTACTAGGCTGCATTTCGTGATTGTGTACCCTTTGAGTGGGTAGTAACAAGAACTCCCCTATTTTTTACTTTACTTATTTCAATTGGATTCGACAGTCTAAATCTACTCAAATATGAATAAGGCAAGAGTGTCCAAATGTACCAAGATAATATTAGCTCATATTTCTGATGTGATCAACTATCAGTTTCCTTTAGCTAATTTCATCATGAGCTGACATCTGTTAGAGAACCAAAGGAAAACCAGCTGGGAGTACTGGACAGCCGTACCGTCAGCCTAGTTTGGGAGTCTTCATCAGAATTCACGAACTGATCACTAGATTGGGTCTCAGTGGTTTAATGGTCTGCGAGCTCGCTAGCCTTGTAACCAGAAGGTCCTGGGTTCGAACCCTGGCGGTGGGTGCGTACTGGTGAAGAGTATCAAACTAGGCTGACGAAACAGCTGTCCAGTACTCCCTGACTGGTTTTCCAATGGTTCTCTAACTGATGTCAGCTCATGATGAAATCCTGTAACCAATCAGTCAAATCCCCAGAAAACAATACTTAGATATCAGTTTTCTATTAACTGCCTTGAACTATTTACGTGATCACAGAATTAATCATATAAGGCATGACACACCAAATTTCACATTTTCTCATTCCTCTAATCTTTAAGTAGATCTAAAATTTTTTTTCTGAACAAATTCTAGAAGACAGCTAATGAGTAGGCATATCTTCGTTAAATATTTGTTTACATCAGTACCAAAATATTTGTACGCCGGTGGCACAGTGGTTAGGACTCTCGCCAACCATGCACATGGTCCGGGGTTCGATCCCCTACCGACGCATACCCGATATCTATGGTCGGCCTGCAAAATTTGGGCTACCGATATCACATGCTGAAAATTCCATACTTGTACCAAAACAAAACGGTGTGGAATCAAGCTGTAATAAAAAAATATCGGATGATACGCTGTGAGGAAGTTCACCTAATTTTCTTTTGTTTGATATAATCTGTTGGTTAGTTAAGATACTTTTAAAATAGCTTTAATCGGAGACCAAAACTATTTTTTTGATCACATTATGTGATTTGTTTGATACCATAAGGGGGAATGAAGAAAGCGGATATAAATGCATAAAACAATGTACTACATCGACCAGTAGTGCTTGTTGGTCAGCCACATAGAAGTAATCTGAACACCGGACACCCGTTTCGCTGGTTTGAGTCCAGTCTGACTCATCTCAGAGGAGTGAATCAGTTCAAATCACCCCCGAATTTCTAGTTCTTCTCTCCTATTTATCGTATAGGAAGCAGAATTTGCCACAGATTTAGTGCTCTCTTCCAAAATATGTGAAAATTTCTGCTACCTGTAGAAATTTTACACATCTACTGGATTTCACTAAAGCTTCAACAAGCGTATAGCTGTTATCCACCATCTTGTATCAATAAGACATTGATTGCTTCATATTATTGATTATCTGATCCATGGCATAAATTCCTTTCGAGACGAGCTTGTAGACCACTCAGCCACTTGGACCCTACCTGATGGCCTATGAATTCCAACTTCTTCCAGTTCGTTATATTTATTTAGCGCGACCACCAGGCAATGTCACAGGCCGGTAACTGTCCTTTTGCATGGCTTGTTGAACCCTTCTGGTTACGACTCCTCACTATAACTCGAGGTCACTTCCTGAATACAGCCAGTCGCTAGTGAATATCAGATTAATTATTAAATGCCTGTTTGCAAGTATTTGGCTGCTTACAGCACTGATTCCTCTGAATACACTGGTATGCTGAAGTAGCTCATCAGCGTAAACACTCGGCTTTAAGCCGATGGGTCATGTATATTGATCCCACTTCATTTATTTTACCTGGTTAGTATCACTTGGCCTCAATTGATTAGAAGGTCTCTCGTAGCCTTGGTACATGAAATCTGTGTTCTACGTCTATAAATGAAATAAACTGACTGATTGTCTTTCATTTCAGTTTTCCATTTGTACGCTCACCTTTCCACCATGTCGACTGGTTAGGAAAACGATATGAATCAACTATTCACGCTACTGATCGATTTTTTGCACATAAGGATGCAATAATCCTTGGAAAGGCAATAAATTCCAATCGTAAGTCCTTTTTCACTAAGATCATATATATATGTATGAAGTTTAGTTTTATATGAGAATAAAATGTGTCGGCGTATGAGTTCTGTCTTAGGGCGAAGATTTTAATTAATGATGACTACGATGTGAACACGGAGAAGACAGAGGTGATGGAGATGAATCGGACACATACCGAGGAGAATACTGACCATCGCTGCGATCCAAGATGTTGAATGAATCCTGTATGGGAAATGGCGAATTGGTAGTGAGTCTGAGTGTGATACGGAGGTGATCGTTTGAGATGGACATGAAAGGTTATGGGCAATAGTGCAGCCAGCTGAATAGGAATACAGAGAGGAGGATGGAATGGAGATTTGGCGTTGACGTCCTATGTTCCATTTAGAAGTCAAGGAAGTAATAATAAGATAATCACGTGACGAAAACAAATGTGAGAAGGTTGTAGTTGTTCTCATAACAAATTTCTAAATGGTGTAAGACATGGTAGTAATAATAATAGACATTTTCATTTTGAGTCATTAGTAAACTTAGTTCAACTATAATGAGCATGAGCTTCTGAGATGACTACTTTCCAAAATCAATGCATGACTTTGTACACAAAAAGCCACCAACTCTACTGATGATATACGACTTCATATTCCTGAAGAGTCCTAACAAATTTGAAATAACGATATACGGCTTCTAGTCGATTTCCTGATACCACTTATCAGCGTAAGTTGAAATGAAGTATTATAAAAATGCTGATAAGTAAGTAATGGGGAAGATTTGTAGCTCGGGAGGGTGATTTTGAATGAGTTATGTTCTCTGAGCTGGTTGATTTAATTGCAAAGCTATCATCATCCTTCTGGACAACATCTTCAATGCAGGTTTTAGTATAAAACTGAAATCATTTAAATTCTCTATGAATGACGATATAATTGTATCTCCTGGCAACCACTATCGTGACTGGTTGTCAATTTACTTTTCTACTGATCATTTTTTTATATTGACTTGTAATTTGAACTTTCTTGTCACATGATTTAATTCTTATTGGCTCAGTAAATTTGATCTGTATTAATATGTTTGTTAATCGCTGGCTGATTCACTTGAGTACCAGGCTTCTAGAAATTCTCTTGCACTTCCGGTGTTTCCTCTAGTTAAAATTTCCACAGTATCCCAACTAAACTGGTATCCGTAATTATATACATGCATTGATATGAAAAAATATATATATTGTCCCTTTTTACTGCTAATTCGTGTTCTTGGATTCAGATTCGAAGGAATTATATGAGAATAGATTGTAAATTAGTGATAGTTCAAAACTTGTGCATTTATGATAATATGCATAAATGTAACACTAAACTGAGCATCAGTTTTCCAAAGTATACAATCATGTATAACAATGAATACATATACTAATGAATGCTTATGACTAATGTTCATATTGAATTCCACTCACATATTGCCTATAAACGCTATTTTTTACGAATTGATCACGGATTTATATCAGTTAGAGAATCATTGAAAACTGGCACCGGAGTACTGGACCATCCACCTAGTTTGGGAATCATCGGTGATACACACCCGTCGCCAAGGTTCGAGCCCAGGACCTTCCAGTTACAAGGCAAGCTGGCTCGTATACCATTCAGCCACTGGGACCCAATTCAATGGCCCAGTTCGTGATTGAGCGTGACCACCAACCAATATCATAGGGGGGACATCCATCCTCACACTTGATTGGATGGACATCATTGGTCATGACTTCTCACTTTTTTATATAAACTTTATATAGATGAATCGTAAAATCAAAAACAGGGAGAGAAACTAGGGTGGAGAGTTACACGTGTGTATGTGTGTCAGTGTGTAAGTAGATTACTAAGTTTAGATAAAAAAACGAATGGACGTAATCTATCTTATTAGCCGACATGTAAATTCTACCTGATCGTTTCTTCTGTCTCTTCATTAGTATTATTTTGTCTTCTCAATTTTAACATTTTACATCTTCAACTTTCTTGTTCTCTACCCCCACCCGATTCAATCTCTACACCCCACTACCACTGTTACTGACTTGAACAACGCTCAGTTTCTAGTCATTCATGCTACGTCATCCAACTTATTCACCCAATTTCACTTCTACTTAATCTCTACCTGTAATTACCTCTGTTGCTATCCTGACCTAAGTTGTAACATTTCAGCCAATTACATTGCGTCATCTAGCTTTTTAACTCAATCTTACTTTAGTTGCTGTCTGATTAACTTTGTCTCTATACTACATCATTCTTGTATTAACTAATCAATTATCTAAACTTGACAAACTTCATTTACACACACACACACACAAATATTTATATATAAATGCGATTGTACAGCTATGTGAATGAATTCGCCGAAAAGAGTCTCTTCGCTGAATGTCTTCTCTTTTTCAAAAAACGATTGGTTTGTTTATACAAGTGCAACAATAACGGGTAGGAGAATTTATACGTACAGGATGGAAACTCATACCTAAAAGGTGCGATATGTGCATGGTTTCTTCAGTCAACCAGAGTAGTAATAGTAGCTAGATCTGTTTTTTTTGCATACAGAGCTCTGATTGATTTAAGCAAGTCGCAATGACCTGTGCTTTTCGGAGTATTCCGTAACTAGAGGCTTTTGAAAATTTATTTGGTACCATAGAGATGTTAGGAAAACCTTCTTCAATGCTACTTTTTTGGCCTGTTTGGACAAGGTGATCTAAAATTGAACTGTTGGTGATTTTCACTACACCATTATTTGATCACGCTGGTAAGTGTTGCCAAGATCCAAAAATGCTTTCCGTACAGAGTATAACTGTGCACACAAGCGGTAGATTTCGAAAAACCCACTTTAGACAAGGCGATGATATTGATAACAGCCGGGTAACTGATTTGTTCATATATATATATATATATATATATATATATATATGACTAAAGAACAAATTTTACTATACGTATCAGCTACTTGGCACATCACGAAATGGTACTTCGAAAAAACTACACACCTTCATCAACAACTGTCTTCGCTCAATACTACTCAACATCAGATGGCGGTGAGTTGGTCGTCAGTGCGATGGTGACATGGAGGAGGTGGTAATGTGAAGAGGAGATGAAAGCATGTGGGCAGACATGGATCCAGCTGAAAACGTTGTCAGAGAACCGAACGCAATGGAGACGGGTGACTGAAACCCTATGTTCCTCTAGGAATTCAAGGAAACAATAATCATAATCATCAAGAACAAATTAACGGCAAAATAATTGCATTAGGTACTAGTTAGTAATTAGTGTATTATGTATAGTCTAGCTAACGAGTGCCAACTAGCATGAAACCTAGGTCCAAGGCTTACTGCCAATTGCCTCCAAGTAACTAATATCAGTAGCAGAATATCAACCACTGTGCCAATGAAAGGAAACCGCCGAAGGCAAATGTGCAGAAGGACAAGAAAGATATATGAATCGCCGTCGTAATTATGTAGAATCAAACAAGAATTGTATCCATGTAAAATTATGTATTTAAATGCGATTGTACAACTTTTGAAAATGAAATCGCCGAAAAGGCAGATATCTTTGCTGAACTTCGTGTTCTCTTCTTTCTAACGTCCATATGGGTGTTTTCCACGATATATGAATCAAACTCACAATCTGTAAATCGGTTAGCAATTTGCTATCTTCACAGTTTGTGTGGTGAAGTTTCACCATAGTTTCCCTTGGAAACCAAGTTATTCAGATTACAGTAGTATATGATCTGCTTGACACGATAAATGGTAATTTAGAAACCAGGCGTATTTGCATGAGAACATATACTACTGATTAATTGAGACGGGTAGTTCCATACTACTTATATCGTCGAGTAATACTTGATAACCTTAAACTAGAGAAACAGCCCTACGGTATTTGGATTACCTCGATCTGACATGAGTGGTGTTCAACTACTGATCTCAGTCAGTCAGTAGTGTATGATTTCTTTTGCAAAGAACGCTGAAGCCAACCAAAACATGTTAAGGTCATCAACAGCAACAACAACACTTGTGGTATTCATGGAGTATTATGAAAACTGACTGCAATTAATAGTGTTCGCTGAGCTGGTTGGTTTAGTTGCGGTGCTTTCGTCGTCCTTCTGGATAACAGCCCCCTTCAGCGCAATATTTAGCATGAGTGACAGAATTGCATCTCCCGGTAACCATCGCTACACATGTGTATTGATCATTTTCTATTGACTTGGATTTTAAACTTTCTGGTCACATTATTTACCTGTTATTAGTTGGTATATTTGGTCTTTACTAACGTGTTTGTTAATTGTATTTTCGTTTGAGTACCAGGCTTCTAGGAATTCCCTGACTGCACTTTTGGTGTTTCCTGTGTCTAAGATTTCGACATTATCCCAATCAAACTGATGTCCATAATTATCTTTATGCATTGATATGAAAGAAGATATATATCATGTCTTTTCCAGAAGGACGACGAAAGCTCCACAACTAAACCAACCAGCTCAGAGAACACTATTAATTGCAAATCATCCACCTGAGCTACAAATCTTCTCTATTATTTCAAAACTGACTGCATTTTCATGTTATTACTGAAAGTGTAGTTTAGAAGGTCAATGAAAGAACCCAACACACACAGAGAACACAATTTCGATTGTGCTGCCTTGAGTTATTCGCCTTAAAGGCATTTCACCAATTAGCCTGAAAGCGAATGTTAGGTTTCAGATTTTAAAAAGAAATTATATTTCATCCTTATTCTGCTTTCTTTTTTAGGCGACGTCACTGGAACCTTGTTGAGTATTTTGACTGCTCGAACTAATCTTGAACGTCAACAGATCAAGAAAACTTATCAATCGATATACAGAAAGGTAGGCGAATCTTCTGTTGTTGTTTTTTAATTTGAACGTATCATTGCATTACATTACATTACATATAACTTTATTTTTATTTTATTTTGATTTACAGCTTGATTCCACACCGTATTTTCAGTACAAGTGTGGAATTTTCAGCATGGATATCGGTAGCCCAAATTCTGCAGGCCGACCATAGATATCGGGTGTGCGCCGGCAGGGGATCGAACCCCGGACCATTTGCATGGTCGGCGAGAGTCCTAACCACTGTGCCACCGACGCACTTGATTAATTTTAGTCAGCGTAAGTAGGAAAAACAAGAGTTAGACTAACTGTTTTATCCTTCAGCACATTATTGTACGTGATATATTTGCCTGACTCATTCTATTGTGAAAGGAGGCAAACATAATTGTAGGTGTTTTTAAAGTCAAGCTGTGACATAACGAGACGTTTTACAAGGTAAGACAAAGAACACTTCAATAAATTCACATGACTCGTGGTAGGTAATATTTTTAGTAGTGTTATTAGAAAAAACATCCTCTTGTTTGAAGTATAGACACTTTGATAAAATTCACTGACATATACTTACTCATTGTACAGAGTTTTCAATGAAGGTTTCAATGTTGATCGACATGAAGTTAATGAATGCAGCCCACTTATTCTTAAGCACCTATTTGCATTACCTACGATACCTATTTCCCCAATTTCTTTAAAATCTACAAAGGAATGTAATGAAAACTACTTAATATGTTAAAATACCTTAGCAGTAATAGTAACTGATTCGTTAGAAATGTAGGATACAGTGAATCTACTGTATTTTGCAGAGTTACAGTTTATGTATTAATCAGAAATCTGCTAAGCTATCTGAATACAGCACAAGATACACTAAATGCTGCTACGGAATACTAAAAAGCCGACTCTCTCATATTATATACTTGAATGCAAAGTTGGATATAGTTTCGAGTTTATATTAAAGATTAAAAGAAGAATACAACATAATGCCGGGCAGGCTTTTGAGGTTATCTTCCGGTGGACCAACCTAAATAGAAGCAGTAGAAGTCTTCTCCGTCAGTAACATCCGATCAGAAGATTAAATATGAAACAATGCAAGAACTATGCGTCATATTAAGTATACATATCTTGAGTATTGCTGAAGGATCTGTTTCAAACTGTTGAAGCTTCCAGAAGGCTTCTTCCCAGTTTGTATCACTTCGATTAGTTGTTCAAAGGTTCTCAATCCAGTTGTTGCAGTTCTCACATGTTGGTTTGTGGGGAGTCGACTAATTACAAGTTTGATTAAGAATTGACGCCTGTTGAAAGAACCTCTGAGAGCGAAGAATATTGGAAAGCCTTTTCATCCCATTTTGGGACTCTTAAGTAGCACCCACCCTCGATTTCACTGGACGAAGTTACAATGTATGAGATCGTTAGATTTTGTCCCACTAGCTGATTGGTCAACTAGTGTGCCTTGTTATAATATGGAGACCCTTGATTCCATCCTTAGTGCGTTTATAGGTGCGTACTGCTAGGGAATCCGAAATTCGGATGGACACAGTTGTCTATTACTCCCTGGTTTTCATTGGTTCTGTAACTGAAGTCAGTTTTATTTTCCCTTTTTAATTGGTGTAAATCGCTGAATACAATAACCAATTTTTCGATTTCATTACGTAACAGTCCCTGCCCGATGCGATTGCACGAAGAACAAATAAACAATTCGCTAATCTTATGGATGATTTGCTTACTAATACACCTGAACTACTTGTTAAGGAATATTTGAAAGCATTGAAGTCATCTGATGTGCGATTAGTCACAACTATCTTAAATGATTTCTGGAATGAAGAATACAAAGCATTTGTCAATGCCTATACACCATGTATGTATGTTTGTGTTTATAATTTTGTTTTAATTTTGACATTATTTTTCTTAAAAATGCGTATTTCTGTCAGTTTTTTCTCTTCTCAATCAGGACAGTGTTTTGCAGATGAGCATCACTAGGAAATTCTATGTAGGTTATTTATTAGATAGCTAGTTTTACATATGGTATAATAGCAGCAGCGGAAGCAGAACTACCAGTAGACATGGATTCTCCGACGAGAACATGAATCCTAAAGGCAATAAAGATGCTAAAAACGGGAAAAGCAGCAGGAACAGACGGAATGACAGCAGAAGCACTGAAAATGGACTCAGAGACATCAGCGGACTTGATGACACCACTACTGGAGAAGGTGTGGAAAGAGGGCAAGATACCTGCGGATTGGAAGAAGGCTACCTATTCAAACTACCAAAGAAAGGAGACTTAAGTCAATGCAAGAACTGGCGCGGAATTATGCTCTTGTCGATCCCAAGCAAAATACTAAGCCGCATCATCCTGGAGAGAATCAAACATGCCCTGGATGAAAAACTTCGACCGGAACATGCAGGATTCAGCAGAAACAAGTCATGTATTGATCAAATCGCCACACTACGGATCATCATTGAACAAAGCTTGGAATGGCAGTCACCTCTCTATGTCAACTTCATCGATTTTGAAAAGGCCTTTGACAGCGTTGATCGAGAGGTGATTTGGCAACTAATTCCGCCAACAACTGTACATCTCATTCAACAGTTGTACGACAATGATGCATGCCAAATAATCCACAACGGGAAAATTGCGGAATCCTTCGAAGTGAAGATAGGAGTAAGACAGGGCTGCCTACTATCGCCAATGATTTTCCTGACTGTAGTAGACTGTATAATGCGATAGGCAGCAGGCAGCCAGGAAACAGGTATAAAATGGACCCACACAAAATCTTGGAGGATCTTGACTTCGCCGATGATATATGTCTGATTTCCCACAAACTGGAAGATATCCAAGTGAAAAACAAAAAGTTGGCAGAAGCAGGGATCGATAATATGCCGTTAGATGAACATTGAGAAAACCGAGGTGATGGAGATTCCTAGCCAGCAGCAGCAGCAACAGCAGCAACAATCATAAATGGAAGGAACCTGAAAGAAACAGCCTCCTTTTCCTACCTGGGAAGCATCCTTTCAGCTACGGGCGGAACTGACGAGGATATCAAAGCAAGAATCGGAAAATCAAGACAAGCTTTCACTACTCTCAAGTCTGTGTGGAGATCAACAGTACTCAGCATGAAAAATAAGATCCGGACTGTCAACTCCAATGTGAAGTCAGTGCTACACACTTTACGGATCAGAGACTTGACCAGTGTATATTTGTATACAGATCGTTTCTCGATTATATAATTATAGTTCCATCTATCACTTTCGAAAATAGTTTTCCAGGATATTTTATGTGAATAGAGCCATTAGAAGATGGAGTCTATCTGAAAAATGAAGGGTCTGTTAAAATAAACAAAGTGGTAAGCGATTTAAGAATAGTGAAGCATACGGAAGATAAGAATTACTAAAGTAATCTAAGGGACCGGAAAATCTTTTCAGTTTCTATGCATTACACTATAGGAGAGGCTTAATTAAGTGCTTATTCGAGAAAATTTGGCATATTTAAACAACTGATACTATATATGATGGGAATAAAACATTGACGGCAGTGGATATCCTTTAGAGTTTTCGAACCGGTGTAGAGTTTAGTTGGTGTCACAGTTTACAGTATTTCTGATTAGAAATTATTCAGTGACTAGTGTCATGTGTCTAATCCTTTGTTCACTGCACACTGAATTCCATGAGTCAAGTCTGCAATGTGGCCACCATACCACTAGGTGGTTCGCCACCACGGTGCACTGTGAGTTGTCAGTATTAGATGGTTGGAGGCAATCGTCCCGAGGAAGCCTTGGACCTAGACCAAGTTTCGTGCTTGTTGGCACGAAGATCACCGATCAGCAAGAGGCATTTGCAACCTTAAATTTTATTTTATTTCATCATACTTCTTTCATACTTATTGTATTATTATTATTATTTACGATACCCAACAGTATTAACTTCTCACAGAATATTTCTACTTTATGAAACCATCTTCCTTGTACACATGTAGACGCCAATCGAACATTTTGGGATGATTTAAGAGATAATTATGGTATATTTATCAAACAAATCCTCTATCGTATCGTTGATACGAGACTAGTAGAACCTGAATGGACTTCTGAGATAAAAGGACAAGGCAGAAAACCAAAATTGGATGAAGAGTCAGCCGTGAAAAAGGCAGAGGAATTCGAAGACAGCAAGACTTATGGGTAAGTAAGAATTTTGTGTTGTTTTTTTAAGGATTTCTTAAATCATTTGCATATTTGCATATAAACATAATTAAGGTAGAGCATTTAATATTGCTAAAAATTCCCAAGGTAAAAACTGAAAGACATAGAACTGGGCAAAAGTATTTTCAGCTGGAACATAGGACTTCAATGGCACATCTCCATTTGATTTCATCATGAGCTGACATGAGAATTCATGGGCCATTGGATCGGGTCCCAGTGGCTTGTAACAAGAAGGTCCTGGGTTCGAACCCTGTCGGTGGGTGGGTACTAAGGAAGAGTCCGGAACTAAGCTGAAGAAATAGCTGTCCATTACTTCCTGCAGGTTTTCTAATGGTTCTCTAACTGATGCCAGTTAATGATGAAGTCCTGTAAACAGTCAATTAAATCCTTAAAAAATCAATACTTGGAAACATCTCCATTCTACTCTATTTTCTAAAGTCTCTTTCACCTAGCTCCACTATTGTCCATAAACTTTCATCTCTTTCGTACACGATCTCCTCCACTCCATATCACTCGCGAACTCATAACCAACTTGTCGTTTCTCATTCAGGTTCCACTTGAGGGTATGTTTTGCGAGTTATGTCACACAACAATCTCTTTAGAGTGTGTCCAATCAGTCTCCATTTCCTTCAGTATGGTTTTTAGGTAAGAGGTTGTTGGTTAGTTTATACTCTACCAGAGTTCCTCGTTGTTAGTCATTTCTAGTCGCTCCTTTGATCTTCAATATGGAGCCAACGAAGACCGGTATTGATGAAAGCTTGAAGCCTTTTAGAAATGCTTTCCTGCGACTCGCGAAGTCTTTAAATAATATAGAAGCGCTAACTCACTTGACTGGTATTGAAAAGCCAAATTTTGTTCCTTTTGACGAGTTCAGTGGACTTCCACCCATATTTCAGATTACTGAAGGTTTGTCTTGCTTTTTGTGGTCCTGACTAAGTTAGACATCCTCATATGTGCCAACTGTAGTTGAAACGATGCTGCTGACAGTGACTGGTGATTGTTTTTGTTTATATATCTTCATGATGTATATTGACCTAGATATAACTCATATTTTAACGGTGGCAAATGTCAAATGTTAGTTGTACGGGAGATTGTAATGTAAACACCACGGATAAAATTACCAGAAGTAGAAATATTTAACTCAAATAGGCATAACAATAATATTGAAGAAAGGGGGGTAGTTTGGACCTTTTGAAATCTATTACAAATCAAAAAATCATTGAATAATTTTCGCTCAGAATGAATGAGATTTGCGGATAATTATTCCAGTTGTCCACCTAATAAATTCTAGCCAGAAACACCACCATTTAGTTCAGAATTTTGTGACTTACAAAAATTAGGATTAGGCAACGCAACATCAATGTTCAGTTTGAAAAATTATTTCTACAAAACGAAGGATGAACTTTTAGAGTTTAAAACTACTCTAGTTTATAGGAGTTAACATTATCAAGATAGTTATTATCATTGTCGAAAAGCTGCTGATTTGACAGTGTCGACAAATTTTGGATGAAGCTAAGAATAATACGAAATCCTCACGATGCAGCTTTTGAGGATGAAAACTCCTTAAAAAAGATATCTTTGCTGAGCTGCTTGTTCTTTTCCCTCTAATATCCCGATGAGTAGATATTTGTGAATACATAAATAAGAATAAGCTTTTTTCTGATTGGTTAAACAAAGTTCCAAAAATTGAGTAATCCACAAGATGCAATTAGAGATGCAGAAGCGCGGTCAGTTGAAACATTAAAGGAACTGAGAAACAAAAGGAGATGAAATATGTAAACCTACGGGGTTAGCACATCTAGATGTTCTGTTTAGCGGATGTCAAGATTTATGTGGAAATACCTCACCTACGCCACAATATTGATTATTTCTTTAGTTTTATACCCGCCTGCTACAAAATTAAGCTTATGTGTTAGGTGATTTCGTAGAAAACCGATTACATTATCCGGATAAGAGCCTGATATGTTTTTAGGAGTCAAATAAACAGTGTTTTCAGAAAACGAGAACTAGTCAGTATTACGTACAAGCAAAGAGGTACCTTTAGACAGCTGTTTCACCTCGATTTAGGACTCTTCATCAGTACGCATACACGATCTTAAAACCAAAACTAGAAAATTAGTCCAGCGTTCACTAGTGACACACATAGGATGCAGTCGCTTGAAATTCTAATGGGAAGTCGCGACTAGTGGGGTCCACCGAATCGGGTAGGAGGAGCAATGCTCAGCAGTGACACTAGTTGGCTGTTTAGCTATATCGTGAATTATCAGGAGCTAGTGTTAGTGCGGCATTGGACTGCCACCCAAATGGCTGAATGGTCGACGAGCTCGCCTTGTAACAAGAACGAGCTGGATTAGATCACTTGTAGGGTCATGTGTGCACACCACTGAAGAATCTCAAACACGGACGAAACAGGCGACCAGTACTGTCTGGTTTTCAATCGTTCTGCAACTGCAACTAAGGAATTACTTAAAAACTCAAATATAATTCACAGAAACTTATACAAGGTGGAGAATGAAACCAGTTTTAGGTCAAAATCCAACTATGTTTTCTGAGCAAACGTATATGCAAGATTCAGCGTACCTAGTGAAAAGTGTTTTTACTCTAGCCAAACTAGAAAACACTTCAACTTTATTGTTTTAGATATCACATTATCAGTCTACATTGTTGTTTTTGATAATGATAATAATAAAATCGTTAAAAATAAAAATCCCCGAACAATTTAGACGATTTCACAAAGTAAAATATTTACGGATAAAATTTTATGAAAATTGCATGAATAATTATGAGAGAATAAATAAAATAGCCGGTTTTTTTCGTTCTACACCTCAAAATATATAAATGAGATTCGAAATAAATCTCATGTACCTAATGCACACAAATTTATTAATACATTCGATAAAATCAACTGATCTGTAAAATTTTCAAAAGTTTGTTTGTAAGGGTTAAATTCGTTTTTACGAGTTTGACCACGGATTGATATAAGTTGGAGAACCATTGAACCTAGGATCAAACAGCTGTCCAGTACTCCGTGATTTTCAATAGTTCTCTAACTGATCTCAATCCGTGGGCGAACTCGTATCTGTAAAAGACACATGTGTGTATTCGAACACTCAGAACCAATTATTATTATTCCCTTGGGTTCCGAATGAAAAATTCTGTCTCAACAGCACGTCTTCACTTTAACCTATTCTGTGTGATCCCTTTTAGCTGGTACCAGAATTGAGCATAAGCTGTCATCTCCTCCGCGCACAGTCTTCTCCATGTCATTCTGAGACCTACGAATAGCCTATCGTTTCCTATTGGAGGTCCACTCGAATAATGACCTGGTGCGAGACGTCATTTGATAGTCTCCTTAGGTTGCGTCCTATCCATCTCGATTTTCTTCGCAATATTTCATGGTCAATAGGTCAATAGTTAGTCCATTCGCAGAGTTTCTTCTTATCAATTCTTGCTGACCCTTAGACCTTCAATGCCGAGCTTTGTCAGCTGTTGGATAAAAGTCTTCAACCTGTCCGGGATGCATTTTTTGTGAAGCTTGCGCTGAGTTTCTGAACCATAGAAAAGAACTGACTGACTGACTTACCATTTGTCGCGAAAACCCGAATCTTGTTCCCTATGCAAAGTGTAGAAGATTTGCAAACTGATTTGAGATTGTGATGTAGGCGTACATCTCCCCTCCGATCTCCGCTCTGACATCATGCGTTTAGCCTGTGTTGTTGAAGAGTTCTAAACTAGTACGAAACTGCCATCCAGTACTGCTTGATTTCCAATAGTTTTCAAACTCATATCGGCTAGTGATTTACCTTGAAATCAAGTTTAAAAGTCCATTTTCGTATTGATTAAACACTTTGAGAAATAAATAATAAAAATATTGATAGCATTATGTTATATTTTCTGCTAACTGGATGATAGATATAGAAAATTCGAATTAATTTCATCATTAGAGGGAGAGGGAAAAAAACAAGAAGTTCAGCAAAAATATTCTTTCGGCGACTTTATTCTCAAAAGCTGTACAATTGTATTTAATGAAACACAAGTTAACAAAGATAGAATCACTACTGAATTCCACACAATAACGAAGGAGGAGATTCGAGGTGATAATAATTTTACACTTTATATGTGAAAGTTTGAAGGTGCGAATATAAGTTACAAGGGGCTTAGGAAAAAGCTTTCATATTAAGTTGAAAATTATTATTACCTTTAATCTCCTCCTTCATTATTATGCAGAACTGAATAATAACTGTATCTATGTAAAATTGGTTTGACCGCACAATAGTATCCATTGGGGGGGAGGGAATTTTCCATTTGTAACGGATGATAGTTAAAGTAACATCAAAAACAGTGGTGCATCAATCTTTGTTTCAAAATCATTTAGTAATGCAAGCAGTAAGTAATATAGTCAGTTTTAATTGTTTCCTTACTGATTCAAGAATACAGCGACCCATGCTTGTAATCTCCTTTTTGAATGTAAACTCAACCATTGCATTGTTCTATGTTGTTTATTGCAATTACTGTTCACCTTTTTTGAACTAGGGAGGATTATGGAGATGTACTTGGTTTCAAAATGAGTGACATTGATCCTTTCCAGTTGAGATTAATAATCCAAACATATAGTCAGGTAGGTTGTTTAAAATACTTATTTGAACAAGGTTACTTTTTGAAAAACTTGAATGAATTTTGCTAAGTAATATATCTAAAGAGAATACAAAATGCAATCCAATTATATAATAATTATTATTCCCTTGGATTCCGAGTGTAAAATAAGGCTACAACGCAACATTGCTATTTCCCTCAGTTCTCTGCAGTCCTATTCAGCTGGCTCCACCAGTGACGATAGACCTTCAGTTCCTTCTCGAACGATTTCCTCCATGTCAATCTTGAAGCCACGATCAATTCGTCATTTCCAATTCGAATTCTACTCGACAGTCTGGCGCGTGACATCATTCAGTGACCTCTCTAGCGTGAAAACAAGCAATTCCCCTTTATTTCAACATTTTTGCTGGGCAATAGTCTCTTGACTGGTTCGTCGCCCGCCAAAGATCCCTGTGTTCCTATGTCGAAATCTGAACACATTTGTCATTTGTTCCACACATATATACTCACTGGTAGACGGAATCCAATTCACTTCTGAGTTAGAAAACGAACAGGATGAGCTGGCCATGCTAGACTAGACTGTAGAATAAAACGAAAACAAGATGGTGGATGATTAGATACTAGCATTTATTGGAAACCGACACACTCTAATAAATACTTAGACTTTAATTCATCCCATCCAGAATCGGTAAAGATGGGTTTAGTTACTAGTAAGCTAGAAGATTTAAGTAATGAAATCAAACAAATAAAGGAAGTATTACTAGTGAATGACTACAAACCAGAATCTATTCAGAAATATTTGAAGAACCATAGAGAAACTAAGATTACTAATAAAACTGACGAAAATAATGCAGAATTCATAGCCCCTGTAGTACTGCCATATAAAGAAGGAATACCAGAGGTGTTGCGTAGGATTCTCAATGAGGCTCGAGTTAGGGTGGCATTTAAACCAAACAACTCTCTCAGAGATAAACTTTGTTGGCTTAAGGACCCAACAGATCTAACTGAGAGAAATAACATAATTTACCAAACGCCATGTAATGACTGTGAGGTAAATTACATAGGTGAAAATAGTAGATCGGGGTCAACTAGATTATTGGAACATAAAATTTAGCTAAACCTCGAATGATTAACCCTGCTAAATTAAATAACCTAGAAAAAAGCTCGGCCATTGCACTACACTCACCTTCATGTAATCACAAAATAGGGTGGTTGGGACAGGGTGAGACTATTAAAAAGTAATATAGTTAGGTGGAGAGACAGAGAGATTAATCACTGAATCTTTGTTTATCGATTCAACACCGTACACTCATGCAATCGGAATAACTCAACGCCTATACCGGAGATATGGAAAGTGGCAACAAACAACAAAGGGAAGTTGGATAGATAGAAAGAGAGAAAATATATATAAGACAAATTGTGAAACCGTGTGACTAAAATCGATATGATTATGAGCAGCAATAATTTATGCTCAAAACATCATCCAGTTGTTAATACTGCGTCGCTGTGTGATATTTGAAGTTAACTTATCTAATATGGCATTACATTCTACCATACTACCCAAGTTTTGCACCTACATTAAACTTCCTTGTTGCTTATCCCTTCCTGTCGGCCATCTGATCTTCATTATGGAGAAAAGGCAGCTTCTGATGAAAGTTTCCAGTGGCCTTTTGGAAATACCTTCAGCAACGCAAGCATCATATAGAAGTAGTGATTTGATATTCGTCTTGAAAATTCAAATTTTCTTCTTTATGCTGCATTACATGGACACCGATGCTGGTTTCAGGGTAATGGAGGTCTGACTTGCTTCCCTATCCTCAATGGCTTCGATATCTTCATCGGTGTCTCCTGTAGTTGGAATGATGCTGTCTAGATAAGCGAAAGTATTGACTTCTTTCACACTTTTCCCTGTTAACAGTGAATGGTATTTATGATCAAAAGATCGAGTGTTTATGAACTTGTAATACAAAATCACTTTTTAAACGCTCTATGACATTATTAACTGTCCATAAAGTTCCAAAAATACAACACTTATAAAAGATGTCTTTAGGATACTGGTGTTACTATAATTTATGGTTACTCATAACTGAATGTAGACTTTTAGAGTAAGTATTTCATAGTACATCTGTAACGACAGAAGGCAAGAGTCAGGCAACAGATCATTTATTAAGGAAATCAACGCATATTTATATATTTTCATGTACATTACTATGGATATTTAAGTAAACAAACACAGTCTTCCGATTGATTGTTTCTCACGTAAAGTTAATCTTTCATCTATTTGTGACTGTTTCTTGAATGTCAAATCCTCTATATGTTAACTGCATCCGCCTACGCAAAGTCTGCTGCGGTCGGTTTTCAATCAATCTTTGTTCACATTTTCTCACGACAAATCTTGGGGACGTAAATATTGACGTAAATTACTGTCTACCAATTTGGCTAGTAGACAGCTCTCACCACACATCTACTGCCTCCTGACAACAGATATTTACAACTGGACTTTGTGTAAAATTAGTTTACTTTCCAGTAAAAATATTTTCCGATTATTCAGCTTGAGAATTGTAACTTTTGAATGATAATTCACAGAAAGGAAGAATCATCTAACAGCAGTGTTGCTTGGAAAAACCATTTATTCATAAATGATACTTGTCAGTAAAGTTATTTGAAGAGTTGGTTTGTAGCGATTTGAGATTTATCTCAAGTATGATAGTAGACTGATGTCATTTAGGGAAGCACTGAAAACCAGGGAGTAATGAACATATCTTTCCTTCTAGTTCAGGATTCATCAACTGTACACACTCATGACTACTCTGGGAATCAAACAAAGGATCTTATTTGACTTTAGCGCGATGACATTGTCTGGTAGTCACATTAAAGTCAAAAATTGGTAAAAGTTGGAATTCATGGGCCATTGAATCTGGTCCCAGTGGCTGGATGGTATACCAGCTTGCCTTGTAACCTCAAGATCCTGGGTTCTAACCTCAGTGAAGAATCCAAAACTAGGACCAAACAGCTAACCAGTACTCCCAGGTTTTCCAGTGGCGCTCTAACCGACATCAATCCATGATCACACTTGAAATGTTATTTGCACAATAATGGGAACAATTAGTGAATAAATATACGAAATAATTTAAAACTCCTCACCATATAATAATATTAACGGAAGTCCATTGGTTCAAATTCTTAGAAGGCAGTAAGAATTCCGTTTAATTTGTGTCAAATTTCTGCGAAGCATAGCAAACAAGACCTACATATACCTATGGTTTATTAATGAACGGTTATTTCAGAAATATTTAGTTTTTACTTTATTGCTTAAAACTTCACGGTTTGACGGAAAAATAATTTGATCCTATGTAGTGAACCCGCTTTGATCTCTTATCGCGACAGCATATAATTAGGATCTATAATAACACTTCTTGTGGACAGCAAAATCCACCTCTACATAACAATTTCCTACAGTCAGCAGGAGGATAGTTCTCGGCAGTCTACAGTCAACCCTCCTCTTATCAATCCTATGAACAATTAACTTATTCACACGGAACAAAATTCTTGCCAACTGAAGAGTTGCACATAATAACGCAAGAGGAAGTCTCAACCAGAAACTGATTCTAACTGATGAAATACATTTCCTGAATATTTTCAGTGAACTAAGGCGCACAAAGTATAAAATAATGAGTTTGAAGTCACATAAATTAAACAGAACGCAGGTATGAACAGACTGTATCTAGACACAACCCTGCATTTCTGCTTTGTGATCAAGGTAGGTTTACCCATATAAGGTTTGAAATTAAGGATAAAGGCGAATATATGATGACCAAAGGTCGTGTAATGCTAAAATTTTAACGGATTACGAACAAAGCAAACGAGGAATAAAACCCTCTCGTGGTAAATTTGACCACTGATTTCAATTTCAGATCTTCTAGTGTCTAATATAACAGGTAATGGTTGCCGACCCAAACTACTTAACCTTCCATATGGAAAGTAGATCAGAAGTTACTTATTCTCGTGACTATAATAAGGTTCCTTTTTTGACCTACTGTTTTCAGTCTTCTTTATATTCGTTAAGAAATCACGCTTATCTACTGAATCCTTTGTTTGTCATTCTTCATTGAAACAGAAATACAACCAAGATCTCAGGGGAGACATTGTAACAGGAACGTCTGGTCGAATTCGTGACTTACTTCTAGCACTGTGTAAGTTGATTGTTTTTTCTTCTTCGTTTAACTCGTAACTTGAAAATCCCCATCGAATCATATAGAACAAAAATCCTGTAACCAATCAATCAAAATCCCCACAAACCAATAATTGAATATCGATGAGATGCTCACTAGCGACTGGCCCTAGGGTTCTAGTCGGAAGTCGTGATCAGTAAGGTGCAACAGGTCGGGTGTGAGGACAAATACTAGCCGAAGACATTGGCTAGTAGTCGCGCTATGTCGTGAATTGGCAGAAGTTAGAATTTATGGGCTGATCATTGGATGAGGTCTCAGTGGCCTAATAGTCTACGAGCTAGCTCGCCTTGTAATCAGAAGGTCCTGGGTTCAAACAGTGGTGGTGGATGCGTACTGATGAAGAGTCTCAAACTAGGCTGACAAAGCATCCGTCCAGTTCTCCCTGCAGGTTTTCCAATGGTTCTCTTTATTAATATCAGCTCATGACGAAATCCTGTAACCAATCAAACCAAATCCCTACAAACCAATAGTTGAAAAAGCATTCTGTCGAGAGCTAATTCTTTCATTGACATTATTCTCAAGCTTTACAATCACACAGGTATAGTAAATATCTCAGTAACAAACAGAATGTCTCCAATCTTTTGTTTTTAAAAGTGTAACTTTTAGATAACAGTTACGTAATAGAGGGAGTTATAATCTGGCAGAAACTAAGATAAAATTAAATAAGCAGATTGTATGACATAATGTAATTGACGGAATTGAACAGAACTCAACTGAAACTGAGCGAAAGTCAAGTTAAGATCAGTGTCACAAGGAGTGAGCTGTGGGTAAAAAAAGTAATATAATCCAAAAACTAAAAATTTCGGATTACCAAAAAGTAAGTAACCAGTATTAAGACAAATTAGGTCCATTGTAGTTTTAGTGATTGGGCAAACTTCTGTATTCTGTGTTTAGGAATTAACATGTGGATTGACATCGTTTCTGTTGTTTGAAGAAGTTTGTTTTATATTGTTCCTTTCAAGATTTTCATGTACTCTGTAGACGACTCTGAAATTGGTTTTTGGGTGTCCAGAGTCGATCAAGTGTTCCAGAACAGAAGTGTGGGGGGAACCTTTTCCTCCTCTACAAAACTTTTAGAGTAAGTGTTCAGTGATGCTTCTGGATGGCAATCGCTGAGTACTGCCGACATGCGTATCTCCACAGGAGCAGATGAATTAGTAGATACTCACTGATGAAACCTGCAGTGGCAGCTTATTCCTCACGTCCATACTAATGATTGGGATTTCGGGAAATGTAAGCTGGAGTTCAGCTGAGAAGGAGGTTCTCTTCAGTAACCGAGACAAGCTCTTCCTTAGTACTTCTGACGATAAATCTCCACTGCAGTGCAGATTTAAATGAAGAAGTTGGTCTTGGGAGAGAGGGACAGAAAGTGTATATGGTTTTAGTAATTAAACCTTCGTGGGTTTTGTGACTAATGGTTTACAGCGAACATAGTGAAGTGTAATTTACCACACATGCTGATATTATATGCCCCAAATAACAGATTACCGCGGTTGGTTGACTACTGGAATATATCTGGGGATGTCACTATTTTCACTGCACTTATAAGAATGTTAGGTCGATTAAAATCATACGAAATTTAATTGCACAACTAATATGAATAGCTGAGAAGCACACACGTCGTTAGGCAGTCCAAACTAGCCAGAGATTTAGGCACACGAAAACTGTTTCACTCACTGCGAATTACTGATTGATGCAAGTAGATTCTAACTACTCATATCAACCTATCAGTAGTATCTTTCTATCTATGTTCAGTATCAGGCTGATCGCACATGATGATTTGAAATATTTTGCGTTTGCAACGAAAAGGACTGTGGACTTTCACCTCGAAATGTACAATTTCAAAACCACTGACTCGTTTAAACTTCGTTATGCCGCTTTAATTTTCTCACGCCGGGGTAGGATTAAGAATTACAGGTTATTAGTTTCAAAATTTCTACACCTCACCAGTACTGAAAAATTCTCATCTGGGTGTGAATTAATACAACATTTGGACTAAAAATTACTAATAATAAGTTAGCATTAACTAAAGAATACCTGAAGCTCTAAAGTGTAAAATAAGCTGCATCGTCCCAGATTGGGATTCTTCAGCTACCTTTTATTTGATGAGTAAATTGTCTTACTATGACCCACCAAAAAAAGCAGCACAGTCCCTCATTAGTCTGATGTCGGTATGGAAATCTACTGGACTCAGCTTAAAGAACAAAAACCGGATCTTCAACACTAATCTCACGTCAGCCAGTGCTTCCATATAGTTCAAAGACTTGACTTGTAAATCATCAAGAGCGATTCCGACATGCTATTGCATACTTTTATCAACACCTGCTTTCGCTGGTTCCATACTGAAGATCAATGGTCAGAAATAAAAAACAACAAGGAACTTTGGTAACAATCCATCCAAGAACCTATTGTGCAACAGAAATTGAGGTGGATCAGACATTTGCTGAGGAGGTCATCGAGTGACATTGTGCTCTAGCCATAACCTGGAGTAGCACCAGAATGGGAAACGAAAAGTTGGTCCTGATCCTGAGGTCAGTGGTGGAGCCAGCTAATACATACTGCAGAGTGATTTGATTATGTGATGCTAAAGCTCTATGTTCCAGTTGAATTTTTTTTCCTTCACGTTCCCCAGTGGAACATAGGGCTTCAAGCTAGTGGCTTGAAGTTTCTGTAACAGTGTTTATTTTTACAGGATGGGGTTACTAGCCTCATGCCCAACCTTTCCTCTTCGCCAACATTATTTCTGGCTTAGTAAGGTAAAAGAGTGCGTCCAGTTGAATAATAATATAATATTATTGAACTCCGAATTGCAAAAGTTCCATCATGAAATCAGTCAGACAAATATGCTGTAGTGAGAAGTTTTACTAAGTTCTTTTCTCTACATAATAAATGTTATGTTTACCAGCTAAATCACACCATGAAGCTTTTATACGGATTATTTTCTGATAACTAAGTGAATGCAAATTCTTAACTCCTGGTTCAAATTCTATTTATCAGAGTTAACACTGAGAGGTAGTCTCACCACTCGACACATGACAGCAGAAAACTTTTATTGTGATGTTATGCATTCTCGTCTGTTCTCAATGCACTCCACATTCTTCTCTACGTTATTTCATTTCAGATGATTACGCAACAGACAAACCTTCATTAATGGCCGATATCTTACACGATGCCTTCGAAAATCGAAATACAGATGACAGAGGATTCCAGCGTTGGTTGATTCTTCGTTCTGAGGTACTTGAACAAGATTTCTATTCTTTGTTGTTGTTGCTTTTTTCCATAAAGCCGTTTAACTGATATCATGAAAGAACCAAACTAATTTATGCCAACTAATCTGTTGACGTACACAGTAGTTATTTATTTCTAAAGCAAGGATCTGATGAAAAAATAATGACTCCAGACCTTTCCACATAGGAAAATTTTTTATTTTTACGAGAACCGTCAAACATTTTCAGCTTTTGAGAATGCTCAAAAACGAAATTCAGCGTAGGATCAGCGGGTTATTTACTCAACATTCTACTTTATCTTACATGTTGAGCTACGAAGGTGATTTTAGTTCAGTGTGTCATTCTCTAATGAAATTGGAGAAGATATGAAGGACACGTGGATGTTCTCAGTTTTGTTGTGTTCACAGAGTTGAGTAGCTGAATTCCAAATCTTTAAATATCTCTGGAGACAACATGTCCAGTGCTACCCTCAGGGTCACTCTAAACTATAGCAGCCCAAACCGAAACTACCTAGGGAACGGATAAATGACGTTAAGCAACCAATTAGGTGACTCCGCATTATCCAGGCTTATGCATGGATGCTGTACACCTTTTGCGTTGCGAATTCGCTCCAGATCTTGTTATTGATTACTGTTTGGAGAACAGACTGATAGGAAGGTAGAAAAAATGCAAATGTGGAGGTGTCATGTGTATACAGAGATATACTAGGTGCGTTGATTGATGGATTTATTTACAGGTGCGATGAGTGCCGAACCAGAAAGTCAGTTCAAGAAGGTATGCCGTTCTTTTTTAGTTTACAGATTCCGTAGGTACTATTTTCGTCAAGTCTAAATTACCTCTAACGAAAATTTCAATGATGTGTCATGACTGGGTGCTTGAAAGACCAGTAACAGCAACAGTGTGTGAATCAGAAAATTCAGAAGTGTCTGCAGTGCAATGGTGCCAGTACTGCAGAGACATAGCATCATGGGAAATGAACAGGCTGACTGAAGTACTTGGCGGAGTTGGCGTCATTGTTCACGTGGATGAGACAGTGCTGATAAAAAGAAAATATAATAGAGGGAGAGTGAGTGCAAATTAGCAGTGGATGTTGGGGATATATAACACCACCCTCCACAAAGGATACATTGATGGCTGATCGCAGTGTACATATCTTATTGCCTATCATCCAACGCTTAGTGATGCCTGGAACAACTATTCATACAGATGAATGAAGCAGTTATAGTCAGCTATCAACCCTGGACTATATTCATCACGTCATCAAGCATACAAATGATTTCATCAATCCTTTCGATGGAATTAACACTAATTCTATCGAAAATTTTTGCAGTCACCTCAAAATGGGTCACGAAATGCAGTGATATACAGTGATCTCGATAAGCTTATGAACAAGGCTTGGTTTAACATAACTATGAAGACTCTTGTGAGAAATTGGAAGGTTTTTTGGAATATACATGAGAATGCCATCCTTTGTAACTATTTTTAACGTTGCATTACTTCTATATAAACGTTTTATTGAAATTATGCGCCATTTCTATAGGGGCTTCTGATTGGTCAAAGTTGTCGTTGTCAAGGTCATTTATCCGTTCGCTAGGTAGTTTCGGTTTGGGCTGCTGTAGTTTAGAGTCACCAAATCACTGTATAAAATCAGAGCGAATGAATAACAGCTTCACTAACAATTTGAAAGACTCTTAATATTCAATTTGATTGAATGTATTTGCTTCTTTTATAGTAGCACTAATAGAACTTTCTAAAATATGGTTTCATTACTTTGTTCTGGTGACATCCTAACCTTCTGCCAACCATAGATTATCAGAGCATATTAGAGCTTCCTCTAGATTTCTAGAGCAGTTAAACGGTACCCCTTGCGAACATATGACATCATAACTTTCCCTTGTTCCGTCAGTTTGTAACGGGGCTGAGTTTCACTTAATCCTAACATGAGGCTCCATATATTTTGAGCACATCGTATATGCCAAAATGTTCTTCAATTAATCCTACACTGTATCATAACCTTCTATTCTTTACAGATTGATTTGCGCTCCGTTGATAAAAAATACGAACAGAAATACAAAAGATCTTTATCTGATAATGTTAAACAAATGTCTACTGGTGACTATAGAAAGGCTTTATTAGCAATTCTACAAGGAAACGGGAATGTCATCACAGATTATCATAATCCAAAGTGAAAAGTGATTATGACTTTCGTTAACACACATATTCATAACTTTGATACAGTCATTCCTTAGATGTAGTCAGCTTTGCAAATAAATAAATAAATAAATAATTTTCACTCTAAAAGTGGTTCTTTTTTGATCTTTTGGTTCTTTAAACTTGAAGTTCATCCATGATTACGGAATCCTCCTAGTCATGTTATAACAGTTAATTCGGCGTTAATTTGTTTTCACACTCGTAGTTATAGACGAAGTTTCAACGGTGGTCACATCAAAGATATATGAATTATTAAGTTTAGTGATAGTACGCCGGTGGCTTAGCGGTAGAATGCTCGGCAACCACGCCTCATGTGGTTTGGGGTTCGACCCCTGGCCACCAACGCATCTCCTTTACCTCGCCAAGGCAGTGTAATGAGACTGGTAAAGAGAGAAGTTTGGATATGAGGCTAGCAACCCCTTCCTTTAAAAATAATAAACACCACTGCTACTGAAACTTCAACATCCTAGCCTGAAGCCCTAAGTTCCACTGGGAACGTAAAGGAACAGAAGAAGAAATAAATAAAATAAATATTTAACGATTTATAATAGTAATAATAATAAGCTTGCTCTATTCTGAAAAGTGCATTTGGACACAAGAGAGAATTTTCAGCGAAGCTTCATAGCTGAATCTTCAAATAATGTAATAAGTGATAATCTATCGTCTGAAGCAGTATCCTTCCATCCTAGGAATGTTCCAGCACCACTCTACAATATTTTTCGTCCGTTTCCTTCGAAAATTTCCTAGCGACAGGTAGAAACTTGTTTGAAATTATGCGACAGCATTGTAGCGACCAAATTTATTCGGTTATTGTATGAATGCAAGAAACTTACCTCCACATCCTACGGTATAGCTGGCATTTCTGTATCCTCCTTGAAGGAACTTATTTTAAGATGTACAATGAATGTTCATTTTTTATTCAATAAGGAATATTACAGACAAACTGATGGTGTACCTATGGTTTCCCCATTAGGTGCAATCCCAGTTGAATTTTTCCTGGCTAAGTTAGAGAATGGACCACTGAAAGGAGTAATTAATGAATTTCTATAGATGATGCATTTGTGGTTGTGAAAAACGAGAATGATGCAATGAACATCCTTGACAAGCATAATGATACCCATTCAGCAATAAACATTACTATGGAGAAAGAAACTAATGACAGTGTCTCATTCCTAGACGTCTTCATGGCAAGGGAAGAAGATGGCACACTAAGAAGGAATGTGTATAGAAAACCTACAACAAAAGGTCAGTACACTCATTTTTTGAGTTCTGTACCTTTGAAATACACACGCAGCCTGGTGAATTGTCTGGTTCATAGAGCTAGGTTAATCTGTTCAGACGACTGCTTCAATCAGGAGCTTAAGATTATTAGAGAATTACTTAGGACAAATGGTTATCCAGATAAGGTCATTGAGAAAAATACGATCTCAGCACCTAGGAGAGTCAGTATGGCAACAGTTTCGAAAAAAAACACTGTTCATAAAACTGCAGTTCATCAGTTACAACATCAGCGAAATAATAACACAGCACCTGAAGAACGCAGTTCAAAGAGCTAATTATGCAGCAAAGGTACACTGTCTCTTCACAACCAACCCTATTCTACTTTCGAGAAATAAGGATAAACTACATAAATATGCCTCCTCGCTGTGTATCCACCAGTTTGACCGCAGCTGCCGAGATATCTACATCGGGCGTACAGTTAGGCAGGTTCATCATCGTATTTCTCAACATCATCTAGCGTGGTTAAGAAAGCAACAAACAAGATCTATTCGTAGCTCTACCTTAGCACACATTGTAGATAGTGAGAAAACGGTTGACGTTAATACAGCATTTAAAATTATTTATCACATTTCTACCAAACTTAATTTTGCTTTACGAGTCCGTCTTCTACATACAGCTGAATCAATAGGAATCCACCTGAAGAACCCAAACCTGTGCGTGTTCAGAAGAAATTTGTACAGCCACTTTCCTTATCTTGGCCATCGTTATATGAATATATAAAGCAGACTACTTCGCCCACGGCCTCCCCCTAAATCTTTAAAAATTGTAATTGTCCAAATTATTTTATTATTATTTTTCTGACTAAGTCAGCCTTCGTTACAAATTATCATTGTATAAATCGTTTTATTTTCTTTAACAATCTGTTACGTAATCAACCTGTGCACACGCTTATTCCTTAATTACTCTTCAGTTTTCCAAAATTATGCATTATGCAATCCACGTGTTGTAACCATTTCCACCTTTTAATTTTGTGTATTAATTTTCTTCTTTAATTATCCCCCGCGCCTTGACATGTTGATACCGACTAATTATTGTTAACAAACATATCAGTGCCACTTGATTGGTAAACTCTTGTGCATTGTAATAAAATTGCTATGAATATATGTATTAGAGTAGAGCCAGAGTGAGATGAGGTTCTAATTGAAAAGTAAATATTTCTTCGCTCAATCCTTTCGCTTTCTAAATGACAAAACTTCTTTGAGGCATGCGTTAGCACAAAACTTTCCAAACTCAGGGAAAAGATTATTATTCTGCAATATTGTAGCAGTTCTATTAAACAATAATTACATTAAAACACATTTTTCTTCAACATTGTCGTACAAAACAGGTATTGTAAGACAAATTTAGCTGACCGAATTTCAACTATGATAGGTCCCTTAGAATCAAGGAGAATATTCCCAACGCGGTGCGATCGAAAGCCCTGTCAACAGGAATCATAAACCAAGGATTCCCAAGTCAGAATGACATTCAAGAGGAACTCAGATAAACTCATATAGTTGCAGAATACGCTATAAAATGTACATACAACCACAAAGAGAAGTATTGCAATTAAAGATTATACAAGGCCAAAGGCAAATAATAAAGCTCAAAAATCAATATGTGGCAAGCAAATGTCAAATTAATGATATACAGTCTAGGGGAAATACGTATACTAATTACAATGTTTGTTGGAATGTCTATATAAGTATAAATATTATAAATAGATCGTCCAAGAAGGGTTTTCCAAATTATTTTTTTATTGCAAACATAGAGTAAATACAATGCATTTTGATGGATAGAAAATTTATTGGTTACAGGATTTCATCATGAGCTGACATCGGTTAGAGAACCATTGGAAAGCCTGCAGGAAGTACTAGACAGCTGTTTCGTCAGCCAAGTTTCGGACTCTTCATCAGTACGCACCTATCGCCAGGACTCGAACGTAGGACCTCCCCGTTACAAGGAGAGCTCGTAGACCACTCAGCCACTGGGACCCGATCCAATGACAAGTCCATGAATTCTAGCTTCTGCCAATTCACGATACAGCGCGACCACCAGCCAATGTCTTAGGCGAGTATTTATCCTCACACCTGACCTGCTGCACCCTATTGATCACGACGTCTCACTAGAACCCCAGCTACCTGTATAGGGCCAGTCGCTAGTGATTTAAGCAGGCTGCCATTTAAAATCAATTGGTTGTTAATACTAATAATAATGGTAATAATGAATTTATTCCAAACAGTACTTTTGATACAGTATGGAATTCTCAGCATATAGTACCATACTGCATTCAGCTGTCTTTTTGCATTACACAGTAAGAGTGGAAATAATTAACAGAATATTTACATTTCTGGTAATTTCAGTGGTAAATAAATGTGAAATTTAAAGTAGAAATTAATACAAATAGTCACAACAGTGTATTAATGACTGAAAGGATAAAAAGAGGCGTTTATCTGGCGTTTCGCCGTAATTTCGTAGTTTCCCGCTTAACACTTTATTATCACATAAATTGTGTTCCAAATATTTTATGGAGCTCATATACTTAGTCGTGCGAGTATAAAGTCTCTTATAATTACTTCTAGTCTTACCTGATGAGATTCAAGGGGAGAGGTGTGAATAAAACGGTCGCTATACGTGTGACAAAATGATTTCCGCCAATTTCTTGAATGAATTCAACAGTCTGTCCACAGCGAAATTAATGGGTTGGCTTAGCGATGTACCACTCGCCCTACTGACAGCTTTTAGTGCTCTTCGCAATGTAACAAAGTCTTTCATAGGTAGCGTAGGAATACTTGATGGGGAGCAATAAAAAACAATAAGTAGGATGCAAGAGTTAATCAACTGTAAAGCAGAGGCTGAGTGATACCAAATTTCATAAGTTTCCTTACGTAGAAGGTAAGACCGAATATTTATCTAGAAATCAACAGGATGTTAATCAGTCATGAAAGATCAGAAGAAGACATAACCCAAGATACTTAACATTCACCTTATTTTTAACTTCAGTGCTGTCTATGATGCAAGAACCATTGGAGCGAACCAGTTCGTGTAAGTTACGTTTGCGTCTGGAATTGAAATTAAAAATCTGATATTTGAAATGATTTAGCTTAAGAACATTTTACAAAGATAATTTGCTAATTTCTAATAGAAATTCATTAATTTTGGAACAGTCTTATTTGAAAGTAACAGGCGTGGAAACAATTAGGCCACCAGCATACTTAACGAAATTGGCTTCATCAGAATGACTCGAGTCATGTAAGAAGAAAGAAGAAAGGAAAAGGGAAAGGACAGCACCTTGACAGACACCGGCCTCAGTAAACAAAGTAGTGGGTGATTTTCTTTTATGAACAGTGTAATGCTTCCTACCAAAAAAATAAGAATGTAACAATTTATGAATTCAGCATCCAGTCTGTAAGCCTTTTTAACAGAAGAGGTATAGGTGTAGAGTCAAAAGCAGCTGTGTAATCCAGAAGAGCACACCGAACATATTTAGCACCTTTTTCCATAAACAGATAACTTTTGACCTTGTTTCTGAGAATATATTTTGATGCACTAAAACATTACCAAGAACTGATTAGGTCAATGTATGAACTCTTAGTAGGATCTCATCAGCTACACTGTTCTGAAGTATAATTCTTGGTGTCGTTTACTAACGCCACAGATGAACAACTTAGATTCTCATCTCAGAGTAGACATGATTTACTAGGAGACTGAAGTTATGTTGTCCTTATGAACGGCAAAAATCCGGGAATGTTCCTCAGACGGGGTCTCAATCATTGATATAAGAATAAAACTTGTGCACTGTGGTAGAGTGTAATTCCATT